TCGAAAATAAAAGGTGAAAAAAGAAAGAGAGGGACGGAGAGAGAGAGAGAGAGAGAGAGAGAGAGAGAGAGAGAGCGAGCGAGAGAGAAAGAGAGACAGAGGGAGAGAGAAAGAGAGAAACGAAAAGAGGCAAAGTGGGCCGCGTTATACGAGGAAAGAACGCGCCGCGATAATCCGAGACCGGAGAAAGAAAAAGGGAGACAGAGGAACGAGAGGGCGAGAGGAGAACGGGAGGCCGACAAAGCTCTCGTCATTAAGCGAAATGATTACTGGTCGCGAGGGCCACCTACACCCGAACTTGCTTCCAACGGCGAGTCGTTCGTTCCCAGATGAAAGACCGCGAACTTTCTGAAAGAACACGGGGGTTTCGGGAACGGTTGCCTTCCGGCGTGCCCTATCATCCCGCCCTCCCTGTCTTACCCTTCGTCGCTTTCACGATACCTCCCTCCCCTCGCAACGACATAGTGGGAAAAGGATTGCCTCTGTTCACCGAAAAAAATTCAACTCACGAGAAGAAAAAGAAAACAAAGACGATGATGAAGTAGAAGAAGAAGAAGAAGAAGAAGAAGAAGAAGAAGAAGAAGAAGAAGAAGAAGAAGAAGAAGAAGTGGCGGCGGAGGAGGAGGAAGAAGAGGAAAAGGAAGAGAAGGAAAAAGGGCACAAGGAGAGGGAGCAGACAAAGAAGAGTAACTACATTTCTTGCGAGCGGAGGCGCAACGATGATGCCAGCCGGGCCGAGCGCGATCGAGTTACGAGTTTCGAATGTCCGCAGTAGTCGTGAGCGGCTCTAGAGTTTCGCGCTCGAATTTCGTAAAAAACGTGATTTCGAGACGCGGATTTGAGAACTCGATAGATAACTTCGTTGCTCGAGCGTCGCCGACTTTTGCCCTTTCTTCGATCGACCTCTCCTTGCATCCGTGAAATGCGCGAAATCCGATAGACCGCATAACTCCTCTACCTACGTCGACGTTGTTCACCCGTCAAACGCCGCTTTCGAGTAAGAAGAAAAAAAAGCGCCGAAGGAAACGTGCGGCGGTCGTCTATAACCCGACCCGCCACCTTTCCGCTTCCCTGTCGACGTTCGCGGCGGAACAGTACGAATGTCGAGTAATGGAGCAAGAAAAAAGGGATGACTGGAAAGACGAAGCAAAGCGAAGAAACCGAGGTAAGAGATTTCGGTGGGGCATAGGTAGAGGGGCACTGAAAATTGGGAACTGGTGGGGGTGATGGAGACCAGCCGCATAATGACAGGGTGCCTCGCGCCAAGGTCCCGCTAACGAACCGGCCCACAGGACCGAAAGGGTCCAGGCTAGGAGACGACACTGTATTATTTTACCATTTCGGGGGTCGGGGGCATCATCAGAAATCATCGCCGAATCCATATAATCAGTAGACGGTTACGTGCAGCCATGATTTTAAGAGCTCAAGGAAAGGGACCGAGAGGGGTAGAAAGGACGGAGGAAGAGAGGATGATGCCTAATAAGGCGAACGGTGGTAGGTACTTCGGTATCTTCGTCATCTTCTTCGTCCTCCTTCTCATCTTCATCTTTCTCTTCGTTTTCATTTTTCCCCTCATCTTTATCTTCGCCTTCACCCTTGTCCTTGTCCTCGTCCTTGTCCTCGTCCTTGCCGCGCCGCTCGTCTCGAAAATCTTGCACTTTTCAATCTTCGATACGAACTTGTAGTGCTTGCTCGATCCGCTAATGACGCGATCCCAATAAGAAGTAAGCTCCCTCCACTTTCCTCTCCTCTTCACCCGCTGCGGCCCCACTCTATCTTGACGCGTTGCACGAAAGGCAGACCTTAAAACGCTCCAACGAGACCGCGAATGCTGCGGGGAACGATTCAAGAGCGCGACTCGAAATTCCGCGTGAACAAAAAATCCGCGCGTCGCCACTTAACTGTATCTACTCGCCTCGGGAATGAAAGCACGAAACCGGAAGATTCGAGAGAAATTCTTCTGACTGCTCTCGCGTCTCGATAATGTACGGTAAGAGCGTGTACCACGGACAGCTTCGTTTCCAGCGAAAGATAGGCAAGATCGCTCGTTAGTTTCAATTTGCATCGAAAGCGTTCTACCTCGGATCTATCGTGAAATCGTCGGAATCGATTGTTCCAGTAAACGCGTGTAGACGCGATGAAAAGGTTGGGCGGAGGGGGAGGGGAGGGGGGTAACAACAAAAATTCTGAAAAGTTAATACCTGAAATCTCTGTTGCCGCGCGTTCACGGGAAAGCGTCGAGAATGTCAAGACTGAGGCAATAAAGAGCAATATGCGAGTATACCGTGAAAGTTAATCGATAAAGATCTAAATGAAAGTTGTTGGTGGATATAAAACGCCTCTCGTACGTACTCAGCCCGCTTTGCGTAGGTACGACCGGTTTGTTACAAATCGAGAAAAAGAGCTACGTGTCGATCGATAACTTGAATCTTCGTAAAAGTTGATCGGGAGAAAAATTCTGTATGCTAATAAAAACCTTGGGGATAGCGCCTTTCCTCGCCCCATTTCGTCAAATCGGAACGGAATACCACATCGGCCGTGAACAACGGGAACAAATCATCCGAAAATCCTCGGGGATTATAAGAATAGGTGGAGGGACCCGATACGTAACCAGTATCGACAACGCGACGCGCGTTATCCCGATAATTAGGGGCTTTCTCTGGGCCGAAGTATCGATGTTGGAGCCTCTCGAACTGGTTCCAGAATTCCATAGACCGTGTCAGCGGATCGACCGAGAGATAACAGACTGTCCGAGAAACTCTCTCGCCTGCCTTTTTCTAATCTATCTTCGATACAGAACAAGAATATTTATTTCCCCCGTCGATCCACGATCAAACTGGATACTTTTCTCGAAATCGCCTTTTGAAACGGTGCCCCTTATCGAGAACCTACCACGAGATCGGTGAAGCCTCTATTTTCTACTGAAAGAATTATCGGGGAATATAAAGGAAAACGTGAGAGAGATTAGCATCCTCGTCTTCTTTATATTCGAGTAAAAAGAAAGTGACTCGCGCGGATAAAGCCGAGGCGCGTGAATCCTCGCGCCGCGTAATCGTGTAATCTTCCGGGCATCTGTCTTAAATCTGAAGACACCTTTTCTCATCTATCCTATTCGATCCGCTCCTTTCGTCGTATACCAATATTATATCATTAACTATGGACGCCCTCCTCGTACACAAATAATCGTGGTTATGTATATCGCGTTACTTATTATTCCTGCAAACTATTCCGAGTCAATAAAGAATAACGCGACATTGCCGATTGATTGTTTATCATTCGGGTAATAATAATTATAATAATATTATTAATAATAATAATAATAATAATAATAATAATAATAATAATAATAATAATATGTGGACATAATTGCACGGTCGTTTAGATTAGCTATTAATTGCTTCTACCGGTATATTTCATAGGAGAGGTGTCATTTATGACTGCCTCGCTGGTACACGACTCCGCTGAGAAGAATAACTTGATATTGCCCCTGGCACGATTGGTGGAGACTTCAATCTCGACTCTTTTAAACTCCGTGTATGTACGTGTATATATATATACACATATGTATATATATATATATATCTATATGTCTATATATATATATATATATATATATAGATACATATATATATACCCCTTAGACGATGCTTTATAAATTACGAGTCAATTCAATCTCATAGACGGAAGATAATTTCGTGTATTTTATGAGAACGACTCGTAACTGTCGCCGCATTTCAACTTTTTACGGCTAATTTAAGTTGTCCAATTTTATTGCTGTCGCGAATACGAAGTAAGTGAATATTTCGCGGACAAGGTCGATCCTCGAGTTCGTTAATTACGAGATAACTTGATAAACAATTTTCGAACGACATCACGTTTTTCTTTAACGTCGAACCTGAATGCGTACGGTTTTATTGATATCTTTCGCATTTTCAGTTTCGCGTCGTCCCCGTTCCCATATCGGACGCGAACAGCGATACGTATCAAGCGAGAAAGGAGTACGTAGCGTCATCTTCCGTCGTCAATACAGAGACAAGATGAACCCACGCGGAATCATTGGATAAATGATAAGGAATACTAATTGGGAATATAGGTGAAAAAAAGGCGTTTTTGTATTTATACATAAAATACATATTGAAATATCTGTAACTATAAAATAATACCTTATCCTAGAATTTATGGTTTCAAAGGGATAATGGGCCACAATTGTGGCTTCGCTTTATCCTTGTGTCTATCGACTGTAGTCTGGAGGGCAGTTTCCATTGCTAATATTGTAGCACTAGCTTCGCCGTACAATAATTTTGCATTGGTATTCCTCGCCTGTACCCACGCAGCTCCACCTTGAATACATTCGTCTTTGTTCCTTTCCTCCTCTTGTTCAGCGGACAATTCAGCGTCGCGTTTCTTCTTCAGTTCGATCTTATGCTTCATGCTCTGTTCCAAAAAGTTCAACATATCTTCGTTCACATGAAACTCCAAGTTCTCGTTGTCTTCTGTAGAACCTGTCTCATCCTCCTCTGCTACTTGCTGATCCTCGTGATGTTTGTTCCTCTGCGTATAATAAGACTTTTGGGTATTCTGACTAGCCAAGGATCTCAACTTTTCTCTTAACATTCTATTCTCGAATTCTAATGCTAAACAACGAGTCCTCCACCATGTTACACTGTGTCTGAAACCATTAAAATTCTGCTAGCTTACCTAAACATGAAGATACGTAAACTTCAACCAACTTGAGAATGACATACGTACTAACCTGTTCTGCCATGCTTGAGCTAGCATATAATTCTCCCAGAAAGAATTAGCATGCATAGTGTTGGATATAAATCTTTCTTTAGCAAATATATCCGTGTGTTCTGAAGTAAACCTTCGACGTTTCGTAGATCTAACCTCAAACTTTACCTGTTCAGAGCGTCGTTTTTTCAAATTCCGTCTCTTTTTTCGACCTCTGTTACGTTTTACTGTGGAGAATTCCATACCTTACCGTTATACCATCGACGAAGGGCATTTATGTCAATACACGAAGGTTGTTTATATTTCCACCTAATCACAGGAAGAACACCACCAAACGTCAACCGAAGAAACGCAGCAGAAACATGTTTGATCTATCGCGCAGTCGTAATAAAGGTATCGACTTCAAAAGTGAACAATGTACAATTTCAAACATCGATTATCGATGTTAAACGTTAGTCCTGCAGGTGATTCGTAAAGAACAAAGCGTGTCCGTCACAGATTAAACGGATGATTTTTATTAGAAATATACAGCAGTGTCTAACCCGTTTTATACAAACATCTGGAAAAGACACCTTGAACATAAGTGAAAATGACACGACCAGTTAAAGTGAAAATACGTTGTGTATCGTTCCCGCACATTACTTCGAATTCAACGTGCATCAAAGGTATGGTTAAGACGAGTACAATCTTGTACGAAACTACCTCTTACTCGCTAAGTATGCGCGTCTATAATCTCTTCGTAATTACAGTGAATTTCATAAATATCTCAAAATTCAACGCTACTAACAGTAGTTTTCACTAAAACTTCGTAAATTGGAGGTAATATATCACGTTTACTCGGTAAAGTTGCAAATTCGATGACCGAAACATTACCGTTCCGATCTGAACAAGTCGAAAAGTCCACGGCGTTCGTGACATTTTCGTAAAATATGCGTATTTCATACAAAGCATCGCTCGCACGCGACAAAGTTCATTGGGAGTCAAAATTTGGTTCGTTGCACTGTTCCGAACGAGCAACGGGCAAGTTCTCGCCGTAAAGCAGAACTACAAACGTTTCTTTAAAAGTGTAGTTCTTGTAAAATTGACTGCGGTGCACAACACGGTCCTCAAATCATAATGAACGACCGGTCCTGGTCTCACATGTACGATAGATTTAATCCCTTTTCAAAGGACACCTCGTTATCTCCCAACGTAACATTGTCACTTTCCATACTATTTCTTCTAGAACTACAATCGGCCCCGTTAGTTTGGACATTTTCACCAGAAGCTGCAACGTCCTCAGCTCTGTTAGCTGGCACTTTATTTAAACGTTCGAGTCCAATTATCGAACGAACGTTATCGGGTAGCTGGTCCGCTATAGAAATTAGTTGTCTATAAATGCCCTCCGCTTTCGATAACGTCCGTTGTAACTCGATGTGCAGCGAAAGGTCGTTTATATGCTGTTAATAATGTCAGGGTTAATTACTGAATAACCACGGAACTATTTCATTCCATACGCTTACCTTCAGTATTTCTGTGAATCCATAGCGATTTTCCATAAGTATACTCCTCTCCGTATCCAATATGGCTGTACATAGGAGCAAATGGAAATTTTTACAAGGAATATCAGTCCACAGTACTTCCCATAATTTCATTATGTCAATCGAATTAAATTCTCGTTTAAATAGAACCAATAACCATCGGAAACAAAAAAACATGTTTCCTGAATCATGTTTACTCAAATAGGTTGCTAACTGTGGATCTATGGTGCTCAACAATGTATACAATTGGCACAATTGGGCCTTCATACCAGCTTGGTCTATTTCGAAATTGGTGCTCTGTTTCATATATAATTGTTTTATTCTTAAATGTTCTGTATAAAAAGCTACTCTTCGAGATAGAAGATATTAAACATACCACTTTCTCCATGAACCCAACAAAACACCAAAACGCGTCTACCTCGTTTTCCATTAAACATAAAATAGGGCTGAGAAGATCGCTCATTCCTTGAACGTAACCCAAATTAAAATTGTACATTACATATGTCATAAGAATGTCATGCAATTGTGCTAAATGTGGATTGTTATCACCCGCATAATACGGATGCGTTCTGTCCGTCCTATTAACGTCTTTTTCTGAAATTTTTACGGTACAATTTATATCGTACAAGTAAGCTTATTTACTTGTGCACACTTGCATCCATTACCTATTAAACTTTTTCGATCTCGATAATCAGAGAAATTACTTTCTTGTAAGGGAGTCATGGACATCCATTGAAATTTCATCCTGAAATATTCTTTAGTCTTTATTTTTCTGAGTTCGTGTCTTTCAATACGTGTGTAATGCCATGGGTAATAATTTAATAGAAACTTCCATACTTCGAATCGCAACGACGGAGCGATACCCTGTAAATTTTTAACCGTTGCTTGATTTCTTACAAATACCAATCTGCGACAATAAAATTTAGATTTAAATCAGGTTGTACGAACCCCGCGAAAAATGATTTCTTTTACTTCTTCAGGATTTAAAACTCTCCCCTCTGGGTCCTTGTATTTGTTCCATTGTTCTTGCGACAATGGTGCACCTATCATAATCACGCAAATTTTGTAGATTTTAGATAAAATGATTTCATACAAGACTGTTCATTGTACCTCTCGGGCAAGATGGTCGTGGTGGTAATACCACACCCAGTCCATGCTCTCCAATTACTTCGTATTCCTCTCCAGAATCTACGGATATTGGTGGATGAGGCACATCGATAGGCAACGACTGATTGAATATATCAACAAGTTCATCTTCAACCGTACGTTTAGCTGGTTCTTTGTATACTGCAAGTAAGTATATAATTTCAAAAGTTTAATATGATATAAAAGTTACCATATGCTGGTTTTGTATACTTACACCAAATATCAGCCAATTTACTGAATGCCTCCATTGTTGTTTCATATGGATGATTATGTAAATTTTTTACAAATTTCCAAACATAATCTGAAGTATTTTCTTGAAATATATCTAATTCGGCAAATGATTTAGTCAACACACTCTGCACCTCATCTACTACAAGGTACAAATTTCTACTTGTACGAGACTTTATAAACTTAATGAACCCTTTTAAAGAATTTACAAAACTTTCTGCATTAGATAATTGGAAAAAGGCAACATAAGTGGTTCCATCCTTTTGCATAAATATAAGCTGTTCCCCTCCATGATTTATACGAAAGGAGTTCAAGTCTGAGAATAAAATTCTGACAATTCTTGTGTGTTCTAGGGAATCTGGTCCCTGTGACGAAGAACAAGTTCGTTTGGTATGAGTGTTCACCAAAGACCATTCGGAATCCTGATCTTGATTCTCAGACACCACAGAATCCTCTATACATCTCCATTCTATGCATTTTCCAAAACTCTGCGAATGTGGAAGAAGATATTACAAACTATCTGCAGGTATTAACAGTATTTCATAGTATAAGATCTGCTTACATATTCAACAATATTTAATGTTCCTAGACTATGAACTTCATCTTCCCTTGTGTTTGCTTTTCGCAATACAACTCCGGTGTGAATGCATAGATCCTATTAGAATCACAGAATCAGATTATTCAACTTACATCCTAATAATCCTAAATAACTTAAAGAAGAACGCAAATAGAAGCCAACGAGTAACAAAGAGGAATCCACAGCAATGAAACTAACAGCAACATAACCTCGCTGACGTCATTAAACGAATGGGGCAAAATCATTTTATCCACAATCGCACGATGACAACAACATATTACCGATTCAGAGATACAAACGAATGACTCTTAACGTCTGTATAGCTACACAGAAGTCGCCAAGGGTCTTGTTGACAAACTATAGGAATCGCATGTGATTACATGTTTGGGGTACGTCATTCACAAAATCTGACAGAGCGTGATATTTAGTTCGCATAGGTGTACAAAGGTACGTACCTTTCCTTGCTCCATGGGCTCAGACATTTCGTTTATACACTTCTGCGTAAATTAGCAGGGTAAGCGAGTTACGACCGTATTTCGACGCATCCCTTCTACTGTCCTGCAAGTTTACTTCGTCCTCTCTTACTCTATTCTATTGTCTGTTGACTCACTCACGCAATCATGCAACTACGTGTACCCGCTTACGGGTATAGCCGTGTCTTTTTGATGTTGTTTTGGTCACGGACGTGAACAGGACAAATTTCCTGCTGATTTTTATATACCTCGAACGGGTCGTAATCATAAAACATTTCGCGATACCTTAAATCATTTGTTGTAAACTATAAACAGTCAATGGGTGTGCATCGAGTACGTTCAACGCAAAATTCGTAGCACCTACTACATATGAGTAAGCGTCTAATCGCGACCTCTGTCACGAAACTTTACTCGCCCTCTCTCTTTCCCTTTCTCCGTCTCTTTTCCGCCCGTTCATTCATTGCATATGTTTTACGTCCCTATGATCTTTTCATTTCTGAAATAAAAACCTCTGTCTCTACAAGGTAAATCATATTTTAATGCTCAATTATGTAAGCACACTGTTGCGTGCACTGAATTGGGCACCCGCAACAATGTCTTCGGCATCAATTATGCAACATTATACGTATGTTCGCTTTATATTCATTTTACTACTTCATAAGTTCTTCCCCTTCGGTTTCTGAAAATTTCAATCGAGTGAGTAACTGTAGATTGCCTTGAAGACACCTGCGAAATAGGTATCTTTGATGCACGATTGTGTAGATTGTTCGCAGAAATCGTTCCAATTACTGATAAACACCACTGGAAAGAAAAGATTGTTCCGATGGATAGACCTCTGGATTAAGACGGTACTCATTATCTTTAGCTTACATAGCTAAACGCGCGGCGATTTTAACGGTACAGAAGATAAGAGTGTATCTGCCCCTGGTACGAAATAATTTATCCAAACACGGTTAAATATTGCCATCTTTCGTTTAAACTGGCAAGCTACGTTCGCTGCTCCTGAGGTTATAGTCCTCGTACTCGGAGGTAACGATCTAACTTAATGAGAGTGAGATTTTAAAGCGAACTGCCTCTTGCGAATCTGATCTGCTCGATCCTCACGCGCAGAATCCTCCTCGATGTTTCACGGTTGTTCTGCTTAAAGAATGAGGACACTGATCAGGCCAATGTTTATGATACGCGGACTTTGTTGCATGACTCGAAATTAAACAATGCAATTATATCTCTATCAGATGCACTCGTACTGAGGAAATAGTGCTATCCAAGTATTAGTCAACCCTATTATTGTCGCTCGTACAACGTTTGAACCGTCTTAGAGTCAAATACGACGGAAGCTAAATATTTAACATTTCCACTGTCATAAATCGAGTAATATGTTAGTAAACATACATCTAATGTGTATTTTGAATTCGTCTCGATGCCCTCTACAATATGGTAAAAAATATCTCTTCCCATTTGTAAAACTCAAAGTGACGTCGACTTTGTAATGAAAACAAACTGTTTTCGAATTTTCTGTCATCGACATTCATTTTTTCGTTAGATTGTTGCAAGTTAGAGATTACACCTCGTACATTACACTTGGACGATGTTTTGTACCATGAGTACTTACGATACTCGGTGCATTCGATCGCGAAGCCTCAATGTTAAACACGTGGCGATAAGCAAATCGTGTCCGCGAACCGATCTAAATAGAAACACTATCGTCTCGCTCTGATCCGACGTCGAACTCCTTTGTTCTAATGCATCTAATTGAAACGGGGGCTCGCGTTTCGCGATGCAGATGCGAAGCCGAGTGCAGCTGCACCGAATTATGCGAGCAACACGGGAAACGCACTGCGTAATCGGACTGATACGATAGACTCGAAACGACGATACACGCTCGCGTCGTGATTTAATTAATGTCATTATAGAACCAATGGAAACAGAATGTTCCTTCCAATGTCTACGATACGCCGCGAATCTCGGGACTTTGAGCCTGTTCTACGAAGGATCCGCAAATCGCGTGACTCCGGTCGTTAAGGAGAAAACACGATCGCGATCAACTCCCAAAACAAACGACGCTCGATCGTTTCCTACGACAAATTTACGCAAATCTCGTTCTCCTGTTCGCTCGGCGCAAACTTCCGAACATTTCGCGGAAGCCGATTGAAAAATCTCTCGCGACAAACAAATCCGAAGCGAAGCGGCAGTCGAGATAACGTTCAACCGAGTAAGATTTTATGCGAGACATCGGCGGCGCACGCGAACTATCAGAGAAATATCAGGGACACGTGCATCTGACTCAGAGGAGGATGAAACGAGTTCTTTGGAAATTACGCTGGAGATTATAGTGCGCGTGCATTCCGCTGATTTTTCAGTGAACCGACCGGAGACGTTAGCGAAACAAAAAGGAACGTGGCTGGGATTATCCGCATTGGGTTAACGTCGATCGAAACGCGCGAGGCGCGGCGTGGTTTCCGAGGATATTAACCTCGTTAATCATGCGATCCTTCAATTCCAGAGATCCACGTCGTTACGGTCTGCCACGAGCCGGCGGGAGAAGAACAACCCGAGTTATTTTTACCCGACACGATTCAGTACACACATGTACGGCATTTCAGCGACAATTTTAAACGGTCAGTTCTCTCGAAATAGATCGTCGTGGCAGACGGCTTGATTACGCAAAAATTGGCCCGAAAAAGAGGCTCTTCCACCGTTCCACCACTCTGTTTCTCTCTCTTCCCCCCTCTTTCTTCTCCGTCCACACGTTCGTTTCGCCTCGCTTACGCCGAATCGTTTTTGTATACAAACAGAGTAGACGCAACGTGGCGCGACAGCCGTCTTGTCACGTGTCCGTCCAACGCGTGAACCGGAATATTTCGTAATTGAATCGGCAATTTAAACCGCTGGATCAGCGTAAGTGTGATGTTTGTTATGCGTGCGTTGCGCCGATGGCAAAACTTCCGCCGCGGTGGCTATCGACAAAGGAAACGCGATCGCGAGATGACGCAGGAAGAAAACTATCGTTGATTCGATTCGAACTTTGACCGAGGCCTGTTATTGCTGATAAGAAAGATGCGGAAAGTGAAACGCGATCTGTCCCGTTGAAAAAAGTTCTGCACATTTCGAGCCGACCGTTGAATTCTCGGCGCGAGCTTTGTTCTATCGAAAATAATTGGTGCGTGTCACGCTCGCGCGTCCGTGTGCCAAAATCTGCGACGTTCGTCCGCGCGAAAGAGACAATAACCGTTGAAAACACGGCGATCCGAAGCGATCGGACGGACTCATCGCCGTCCGTTGGAATTCTTCCGACGTGTAACCCTGAAATCTCCTCGCATCCTTGCGGGGAGACGTGCTCGCTGGCAATGGGACATTTGTTTTCCAATCTCCGCGCGCGAGCTTCCACACGGTCACAACGGAAATTCTAAATTCGGAGTTAGAGCCTCGGCGAACCCGAAGAACGGGTTCTCATCGAAGTTCTGGCGATTGCTCAAAGAATTCTGTTGCTCCGAAGTACGCGCGACGGTGGGGGCAAAGCGTGAACTTCTCTCGCCGGTCCTCGCGAATGGCGCAGCCGCGAGCGAGTAAAAACGAGGAGCAATAAAATTCTATTCGAAGCGGTCCCGGCGTTCTGCGGCGAGCGCAGCTATGCGGTTTCTTCCGACATAATTTCATGGTCTTCTCGGAAAAACTGCGGCGGACTTTCTTCGCGAGATGATCGAGAGCTCGGATGATTACGGTGCCGCGCGTAACGATCGGTTGTGGCTAGAAATCTTCGATTGGCTTCTTCAACGGTAGCGTCGACGATGCGCATTCGAACTTTCTTCTCTCGCGCAACAAATATAATCGACGGATCTTCATTACGGAAACGATCGTAAAACATACAATGCTCGGCGCGCCTTCGAAACATTCGTATCGCTGAAGAGTCGAAGAGAGATCCGTTGTTCTGAAGGGTAAGCGATTGTTGTTCCCGCAGAGGCGAGTTGCCGATAATATAGAATCGAAAAATTCCCTCTAATCGGTGCACGCGTACTCGGTTGCCACTTAATTCGCGTATCCGTAGATTGCAGGATTAATTCTACCCGTGACAATGTTGTCAGCTTTGTTTTTCCGAGTGAACCAGACATTGATCGATAAGCAAAATCATTCGGAACGATCGGTAGAATTGATGAGAGGTAGAATCTGACGGCGAGATTGAGTCTACAATTACGTTTCCCGCGTTTTCTCAGCTAAAGTAAGATTCATGTATATCGGTGCTACTGGCCATACGCTCATCAACATAGTTGCAATACACGACTCATTCTTCAGCAGAAAAGCGCAACGCGTAGAACTCGTGTCTTGACGTAAGTTCGCGATTCCCGCAAGTAGAAATAACGAGTAATGGACAGACAGTGCGGTACAAAATCCCAGACGAGTCACCGATAGGAACAAATCCAGAAGCAAAACAGCTCGATTAAGAGCAAGCAACAACAGTTCATTAAAACAGTAACAATACTACCAAATAACACGCTAAATCGCTACAATAATCAGTCTCTCGCCCCGACTTTCAACCTCAGCTCGCGCTAAACTCTCGCCTTGAACTCTCGGTTCAAGACTCTCCCCAAGACTCTCTGTAGACTCTCTTTTCGCTGAGCATACGCGCGCTTTAATCATTCATCCCCAATCGGTCTTTCCTTCTTTTCACGCGCGCCCCTTCTCGCTCGCCGGCTGATCCTCGCATCCATAGTCTAAATTCGCGCAGTCACGTACACGCTTCGCTAATCGCCGCATTCCCATGGTCCAGTCGCTCGGTCCCGAACGCTCCTCCCCCGCATTCTTTCGTCCACTCGTGATTTCCTACGCGCAGCCACCCTATTTCCGAAACGTGCCGGCGCCGACCGGTCGCGAGGCGATACAGAGCACACGCTCGGACAATCGACCATTCACACCCTGCGAATAGCGATCGGTCGTATTTAAAGGCACAGCTCCTCGACCAATGCCGCCGATCGATATCCGCGCGGAACGGGGAGGCTTCGCAGGGGTAACTTTTATTCCAGATTTTCGACTCGCGTCCGCGAACGGGGGAACGAACCTTTCCTGTAGGGTTCTATTCACCGCGGAACACCTCGTACACGAATCCCCTCGATGTCCGCGAGAGAGCCTCTGACGCACGCATTCAGATACGCGCGAGTACACCTACGTATGTATTCGGCGCGTCAGTACAGAAGTTAGACTTCGATCTTCATTCACAAGCGCGCGTCGGCCGTTGTCTGCGGCCGTGGCACGTTCATCTACCCCTCTTTCTCTTTGCACCGGCGATGAGTCAAGCGACGTTTCGTCGGTGCGAGCGCACCCGTCGGCACCGGTGCGCTCGCACCGAGCTTTCCGCTTGGTGCTAGAGTATCGACCCGCGGGCATGTGGTAACTCATTCTCCTTTCTCCTACGCGCGTCTCTTTCCTGCTTCCCGGCAGCGCTATAGTGCCTCCTCTGGCCCGTTCCTCGTCTCGGTTCTTCCAGCGCGACTCGTTTCCGTTCTCTTTCGCCCGCTATCGTCCCTTCTCTTTCGCGCAACGCGGACCGAGGATACGGCCAGGTCGAAATTGACGGAACCGTCCGCGGGAATCTCGACCGTACGTCGACCGGGTACATTGTCGTGCATGCGCGAGGAAACGCAGGAACGTGCTACCAGCTGCCGACGCCCCGAACACCTGGACTCTCGAGCGATTCTTACAAACGGTGCGTTCGAGCCCGACGAGCTCCTCAGGGTCATGCTACGCTGCGACTCACCTTCGGCTCGAAGAAGGAGAGATAATCGTCAGCCTTCGAATCTAAACGCGCCGTGCACGCGAAGCGCGGAGGAAACGCTCCGCGATGGAACCTGGTTATTATTACATGGATCGGCTGTATACTCCTTGCTAATAACGTCCAGAAAAGTTCGTAGTCATCGGACATCGGGTCTCGCTAATTTGCATGTAACTTTACGTAAGCGCTTCCGAGCGGTCACAAAGAGCATTTGAACGCACGGTTTCGCGCGGTTTCCGCTCGGCAGCAACTCCGTCTCGGCGATAAACCGGGATACTTTCTCGAGCAGATCCCGTGCGCGACCAGCAACCTCTGCGTAGATCAACGAACAAAGAACGTGTCGCGTGGCTCGGGCAGCGAAACGGACGTTCGTCTTTGTTTTCGAAAGCGGATCGCGCCGATTCGAGTTGAATAGTTATCTCGAGACGACACGGAGTACGCCGGAGGGACAGTAGCTGCGACGGTTCTTCGAAAAGCGTAATTGACGAACAGAAACATCCTGAGTCATCGGTGACGAGAGGACAACGCATCGGTGGCCAGCAACGAGCGGCAGGTCAGGAGAACACGCGCGCGAGAGGGAGTGGGCCCGAATGATCGTGGTCGCCCCTGGGTTTCGAGCCGGAGCAGCTCAGTTCATTTGGTTGGCAGAGGCGAACGGTGGTGCATAGCGCGACAGCTGATTCCGAGGAGTGTTGCGTCGACCGATCGTTTCTCTGGCCTGTCAGTCGCAGTTCGCACGGCGGATCGGTTGGCCGCGTAGCAATTCGATCTCCCCTACCCTGTGATACGTGTACGGCGGTGTCGGACCTAACGCTCCGCGGGCGAGTCGCGATCGGGACCGCTGCCACTGGCCGACGACGATCCTCGAGGACGAATGCAGCCCCGCGATTCGGATAACACCTCATCGATCGTCCGGAAAGCGAAGGCGAGGATCAAGCGCGTATCGTAACGCCTATGCATTGTCGCACGCGCACCCGGGGACTCACCGAAAGTCGCCGTTCCAGCGATCCGCGGATCAGTGAGCACCGTGCGAGACCGATTCCCCTCGAAACGGGAAACGTAGAAGTGAATGCCGAGGCGGCCGGACGAGGGGCGTAGAAGCGGAGGATGTACAGCGTCACCCTTGGGGTATGAGTCCGGACGCCGCTAGAACACCTGAATCTACATTCGACCTATGGTGAGTCGACGCTCGCCGCGACTCCTCGCCGACAGGGGATGTCCGGAGCGGCGTTTCGCGTCCCGAACGATCCGCGCCCTGCGCTCCGATTCCATCTGGAAGCTCGAACGCTTTCCTTTGTCTCCTAGGCTCGTATCTATCCGGCCGTGCGTCCGCTTTGCGCCGCTCCGATCCTCTCGTCGCGAGGCCAAGGTGTTCGAGAAGGCGGCTCGATTTCTAATGGAACACGGTCCGATCGATTCGTGCCTCCGCTGCGTTAAGAAACGCGTTCCGCGACGGATCGCGTTGTTTGCATATTACACGATGACCCAGTTATTCCTCGTCGGAGCTTTTCGACGCTCGTTCCCATCGGCCCCCCTCGTAGAGCCGCACTCTCGGTGCCACCGTCGAGCGGCTGACGGCTGCCCGGTTGCCAGTAATTTTATTTACGATGACTCGGGGAAACGAACGGGGGAATTTGCTGCACGTACGTCGCCGTGAATCATTGATTATCCTGTGCGCTGTCGCGAATCGACATGTCCTGGGGAATAAATAATGACACTCGTGTTTGACCGTTGCCACGCTACTCGGGGCCTTTAACGCGAAGGAGGTACCACTCCACGCGGCTCGCCGCGATTTTCTTCCAACCCGCAGCGAGATCGTGTAGAGGTTCGCCCGACCGGGAACCCGATGATGCCGGATAATGAGATAAACGCACGGCAGCGAGCTTCGCTGCCGATCGATAGCCGACGAGCACGCTTCGCATCGTGCATCGGGGCGAGCCCTCGCGCTGCACGTGTCCATCCCGATTCGCGTCGAGTCGCCGCTCGCGATTCCTTCGAGGCTCGACCGAACCCCCGAAGATGACACGGCCGTTCACCCTCCTCGAGGCCCGATCGATTCGTGCGTAAGAATTCAGTAGCATAATGCGTCCACGAGTTTGTTGGCCGGCCGACAAAAATATCGCGCGATCCTTGACCGTTTAAACGAGTGTTGGTAGGCGTTCGATCGTTCGGCCACGATAGCGCGTGCTCATTACACGCGATCGCGATCGTTAATTTATTCGTTCCCTTGTAATCACCCGGATAAAGTGATATCCAGATCGACACAGATTTCGATGGCTTATCGAGTCGACGGCCGGTCGCACCTTTATCGCAGGACTCGACCGTCCCCGCGAGTCCCTGGGACAGCGCGCTCGCGGATCGTGCGTTTCGAATGTCACGTGTGCGGAGGCCCGATGCAATTTCCGTCACGTGTTCGCGTTTGAAACTTGCGCTCGATCCTTCACACCGCGTACCGACCGCGGACCCTTTCTCGTTCCTCCGTCGAATCGCGCGCGACTTCTTCCGAAAACGATCGCGGCAGCCGTTCGCGCGTTCCTTCGAAACGTTCCCGTCCGATGGAACTGCTCGACGGTTAATCGGACCGATCGATGGTGAACGAGAAAAGATCCCTTTCTTACGTAAGCGTAGAAATTTCGAGTGCGATACCGAGAGTGAATTTATAGCCGAAGGATACGAGGGCGCATCGATCCTAAATCCGTACGAAGATCGTCGGGGCCGCACGGACGAATACGAACCGTTCGCGTGCACGGCGAATCTATTTCCGAGCGCGAAACGTTGTCCGCGGAACAGCGTTTCCATAATAGAGATCGGAAGGTACGGTTCGGCGCCGCTAATCCCGCCGGGTGTTTTATAGTTGGTATCGGCCGATGCTGGTGGGATTTCTGCATCAATCAGCGTTATCATATCTTTCTACACTTTGTACTTGTAATTGAGAGGCGGCGTTCGATAACATTGGCGATCGAAATATCTCGTAGGACTTGAGCCGCATTGTTTTCTGGATAGTGGGGGATGACGATAAATATCGCGTGCTCGAGGAGATGCATCTGTTCGAATTCGTTTTCGGGAAAAGGATCTGTCCCCTGGCGTCCGGCCAACTCTTTCCCATTGCCATGCCGGTTATCGTCGAAGGAGATTAAGGGACGTTAGACGGCGCGTTTTGATCAAGGACCCTCGTAACGAAGTCGAAGAAAGTTTCAACGTATCGCCGGTTAAGTTGCCACGGTGAACGCTCGAGGACTGGTTCGTCTATTCTCGTTCGCGCGACCGCCAATCTCCTGTCTCGATCAGCTGTTGTGTCGCACACTCCTCCGGTTCTCGTCAAAGTAATCGTGATCTGTTTACCAAAACGAACGGAGATCGAGAGATTAGCATGTAATCCAACTATTTTCCGCGTGCCTCGCCGATAACGACTGTCCGCGATTCCTTTATTAATTTACACCGTTTAATTGTGGATTATTTGATTAATCGATAGGTCCTCGTTCGGTTTCTACCCGATAGCATCGGAATATTATTCCGGATAGGTCTCGATTCGGACTAGTCATGCTTCCGCCGATTCCAAGTCACGTTCGACTTTCAACGTTTCGCGGCGGTTCCTCGTGGCCGAATTATTTTTCAATGATCGGGAACGATTTAGTCACTTCTCGGCAGACAGTATTAGAACTTGCACCACGGTTAACGCACAGCGATCAAACGAGAAGGAAGGGAATTCCGTTCCACGGGCGAAAAGGAGAAAGTCCTTTGTCCGCGAACTCGTTTTGACGGTTCCGAGGACCTTGCGTTTAAATGCACATGATTCATCGGCGTCCTGGGAGAACTTTGAAAGCGTGCCGATGAATTTTTTATCACGTTCGTCTGCGCACCAGCGGCGAACTCTCGACGTTCCCTTCGATTAGAATTAAAAACCACGAAGCATCCACGGGAAACTTTCCAGCGTTATCGTTTATTCTCGGATTCACGGCGTGACAGATAAATTCTACCCGGAGCAACCCGCGAAGAAAACTTTCCGTCGATCAGAAATTTTAATTAGCCTTGTTATCGTTCCAGCATCAGCAGATGATGGCGGATCTGAAGAATCTCACTCTGAGCGATGGAGGAGGGCCTAGGTACAGTGGCGACGAGCAGGTACAGTTCATACCTGGCGGAAGCCACCAGGTGACGATCAAATCCCCTCCACCGACGCTACATTTGGAAAACCTCAACAATGCGGTCCTCAGGTAAACGCGATTCTCGTGTTAATCGCGCAAACGAGATAGAGAAAACGTACAACGGAAGAGCGCGCGCTTAAGCCTGCGGATTACAGGCCATTCGAAAATGGAAATTTCGAGGCACCGACGCGAAACAGAAATGTCATACGAACGAGATAAGAGTCGCACGTGTCACTTGCTACTATTTATCGTGCATACTCCGTGAACGCTGCCTTGAATACGTATGCGAGTATTTCAACGAAAAGTCGAATTCGCGTAATAAATCCTCTCAAACATTGGAACGAATTATATCGGAAATAGATAAACATGAACTGATTCAAATTACGATTATACGAATTGGATTTTTCGATCGTTTCGCATGGTATTCGTCCCGGATTGTGCTGAGATACACGCTTTCCGGGGGATGAAATTTTTCGTAGAGGCAGCGATTCGTTTCCGTCGAGCTTAAAGTAGAATCGGAACGATGCAATCGTGCCACGGACAAAGTCCCGCGTAAAGTAGATTGAATAGCTCCGCCTGGAAGTTCGCGATACACGGTGTAAGTCTGGTTGAAAGGACATATTTCCAAAGAGCGCATGATAATAGCCGTCGGTTTCTCGTGCGATCGAACGAGAAATTCGCCATTAACATATTGCAATCGCGGGCGAACAAAGAACGACGACTCGAAGACCGCGGCGCAGATCCCGCTTCTTTCTCATGACGTCCGCGGGCATGGAATGAAGTCATCGAGCACCGACTAACTATGGATTTCTCCGTTGCATCCATGACCTTTGCTTTCGCTGTGTGCGCCCGTTCGGGCCGGACTAGAATTCTATTGGCCGTCTCATGGCACAAACAATGAATGAGGCAGAGCGCGGTCATCGAGTCGGCATCGAGCACGCGAAGCGGTACACCCCAAATATGTCTAAAACGGAGCCCAAGGTCCTCCCATTGATCGCGTTAAGGCATAAGGCTACCGCGAACATTTTTCCCCGAGCGTTCCGGCGAACACGCGTTATTGTTCGCCGGAACAAAGACGCCCGATAGGTTTCTAATCGAGCTCCTTGTGTTTTCGCCGCGAGCCTGTTCTTATCGTCGGAGGCATTTGGACGTCCGGTCTCTTTTGCAGGTGGCTTCTCGACGGGGACACGTGTTATCAATTACATCGACGCGTCGCATGTACAAAATAAAGTAATCAAGAACAATCGGGAGTCCGCGAAAACAATTGGCACACGAAAACCGAATCCGAGACAAAAGGTTCACGCGCTCCGGCTTAACGGTTTAAATCCATCGTCGCCTTCACGGTCGCGCGTATGTAGACCGAGCGAGCCGCGATATCGATTATTCTTCATCTTCGGTGAAACCTTAAAACCAGCCTTCAATAGGAGATTAAATTACGCGCGTCAAGCCGCACGCGATTGGCTCGCGCGGCTTCCGAGGTTCCTTCTAAAGCGACACGGGACACGAAAAATCCACCTGCCACGTCGAGCCGACTTTGGGCTCCGCGCGAAGAATTCACGTACGAACAGCAGCTCCCGGTTCTATAAACACGTGTGAAAGAAACGAAGTTCACTGTTTGCCGCTCCAAGGTCCCATCAAATTTTTATAACTATAACTTTTTACTGTTATCGACCGTACGCAACGGCACGTACGCTATGTCGTCCCGCCGTAGCTGAACCTCTCGTCGCCGACACGCGACGCGACCGTCGAAAAATACTTCGCGCGGTGGTTCCGTCGGGGAGAATTTCTTCCTCGCCGGAATTTCACCCGCGGAGAAACGACTTCGCCGGTGCACGGAGGTGTTTAAAGTTTCACACTGCGCACCGACGGAAAAACGAGTGTCGGCCGACGAGTCGCGAAGCGGCGCGCTGTATGCCAAGCTTTATTGGTTTCATTAAAACGCCGAGTTCGTGGAAACGAGAGCTGACAATCATCTAATTTGCTGAACTAGGTGTACCGCTCCTTTACAATTTCATGCCCGGTAGCTGACTCGCGGCTTTCCAACGAATATCGGGGCTCGTTCCCCCGTTTTCGCGACGAACTTTCGTAAGTGACGTCGAGTTTCTTACGGAGTTTCACGAAATGCTCCCCGTTCTGTTGCAGCGGCTCGCAAAACAATCTCCACTGCAATTGCAATGGAAACGCGTCGAACGGCGCTGCGGTTGCGATGTGCAGCAACAGCATGTTCGTGAGAAAGGTGCCGAACCATAGTCCTGGCCAGGACGGCAAGAGGCCGGCGGTAACGCTGACGCACCTGCCGAAGAGACCACCGGTTGACATCGAGTTCAAGAATCTGGCGTACAGCGTGTCCGAGGGCAGGAAGAGAGGTTGGTCGTCGGAATCGCGGTGTCTCGCGTTCAAAGCGAACCAACGTTTCACGACGTCGGTCAATTCACGCTAGCGTCGGGCGAAAGTTATTCGAAATGACGAGCAAAGAATAAGTAGATTTGATTCAATTCTTTGCAAATAACGAATGATTCGATACTTACGTGAATCGCTCAGAGGTCAACGCAGTTAAATATATCTTTTGATATTTTCTGTAAATTTCAATGGAACAAATAATATTCTTTGTAGCTACTAAGGATTCGTTTCTTCGTTTTTTTCTAGATTACAAAGCCCTTTTTTCTACAGATTCTAAACGTGTTGTATAATTATTTCGAAAGCCAAAACGTTCGTTTTAAGTTTCATTTGCACATAACCGTAACGGCTTCAGAGCGACTCGGATAATGCTAACGATTTTATTACTAATAAATCATACTAATGATAATTTCGAATAATTATTGCTCAACGCTTAATAACGTAAGAAACGTAAACGATATTGCCTTGTTATCCAGCGAATGTATAAATCGCGAATAAGGAATGACTCGAATTAATTGATCCTTCGCAGAAGCGAATAAAGCTGTAGATCGAAGTTATTCGAGACACGAAAATCCGGCGAATCGAGGAGACACGCGTAGTCGAAGACGCACGCCGTAGGCGTTCTATTCAAGAACGTGTGTGAACGACCTTAGCTAAAAGAATCAATAGGAGCGTGCAGGCTGGTTCCTGTTTCGGTCCAGATGCACCTCCGTGGTGCAGCTGTACTCGCGGTAAAGAGGTCAGTCGTAGGATCCACGAAACGCTCGACGGCGTAACGAAATTTCTCTATCCTTTCGCCGCGAACGCCGTGAAATTTGGCAAGCTCCTATTTTGGCAATGCGCGACGTTACGTAAACCCAACAACGATAAACGCGGACCCGCGTCGAGCGAGATCTTGAACGCGCGTGCTGTCGCGTTGCAGGTTACAAGACGATCTTGAAATGCGTCAACGGGAAATTTCGGTCCGGCGGGTTGACCGCCATCATGGGCCCCTCCGGTGCCGGGAAGAGCACCCTGATGAACGTGCTGGCCGGTTACAAGTGAGTTCCTCCGTGAACCGAGATTGAACGACACGATATGAAAGAAACAAGGCACGTTCTAACGATCCCCCGCGTCTTTCCAGGACATCGCATCTCAGCGGCTCCGTTCTGATAAACGGGAAGGACAGAAACCTCCGAAGATTTCGGAAGATGTCCTGTTACATAATGCAGGACGACTGTCTTCTGCCTCATCTGACGGTCCTCGAAGCGATGATGATTTCCGCGAATCTGAAGCTGGGGAAAGACATTGGCGCCAGGGAGAAGAGAGTGGTGGTGCGTCTCTGGAATTTCCGGTTTGCGCTTAACACTTTGACTCAAGTAAAACACTCGTCGAAACTTCTGTACGGTCGAAACTGTTTTCTTAATTAAACAGAAAGTAAAAGGTTAAGATTCTTCATAATTGCTCGATTATCTTTCTTATATCTGATATATTGAAATTCAGTTGATTTGATGCGTCGTGTTTAGGTTTAAAAAATAGTGTCACGAATTTGGGTGACATAACAGTCAAAGTGTTAAGTCGAATGATGAATGGTTTGAAATGTGTTAACGGATGTCCGGGTTTATTGCAGGTCGAGGAGATCATCGAAACCCTTGGCCTAAGCGAAGCGAACAACACGCAAACTCAATGTCTCAGCGGAGGGCAGAAGAAGAGGCTGTCGATCGCGTTAGAGCTGGTGAACAATCCTCCTGTGATGTTCTTCGACGAACCGACCTCCGGCTTGGACAGCTCGACTTGCTATCAGTGTCTAAGTTTGCTCAAATCGTTAAGTAGAGGAGGTAACTGTTTGCGTAATCCTAGTTCCATATTCAACGCTGTCATCCATTACTTCCTGTTTACTAGACTTTGGATTCTTACTTGGATAATTTGTTTATTTGACATTTCACGTTTATAAGATATTTTAACATATCATTTGCGTAATGATTCGTCTAAAGATCGCTATAGGCTAGTTTTATTTACAGGTAGGACGATCATATGTACAATCCACCAACCGAGCGCGCGGTTGTTCGAGATGTTCGATCATTTGTACCTATTGGCCGAAGGGCAGTGTATATACCAAGGGAACGTAGGCGGTCTGGTGCCCTTTCTGTCGTCGATGGGCTTGGAATGCCCCAGCTATCACAATCCAGCGGATTACGGTACGTGGGGAAAACAATTGTCAGCGATACGGCTGCGACGATGATCGATCACGCTTTCTCACGATAAAATTTTACGCTCAGTGATGGAAGTTGCATGCGGTGAGCACGGGGAATGCGTGCATAAATTAGTGATGGCTGTGAACAACGGTAAATGCGCTAATTACCAGCACCACCAGGCCGCGATAAACGCGGTCCAAACCGTGCCGAACGACATCGCGAAGGAATCGCCGCAGCAGGAGACCAAGTCCGAGTCCGCCTTGATACCGAACGGTGTACTGAAGCAGCCGAACGGAGGAACCGTGATAAACATGCCCATTTCTTGTACGACGTCTCTGTTAGACAGCGCGGAGAGTATAGAGCAGACGGTTGGATTCCCAACGAATAGTTTTACCCAATTTTGGATTCTGCTTAAAAGAATTTTCTTATCGCAAATAAGAGACATGGTTGGTCCATTTTATAGTCGCGGTACGCAGACGTTTTGCGTAGCTGTTCGCATCGTTGTAATCGGTCGTTCTCGTTGCAGACATTAACGAGAGTAAGGCTGATTTCGCACATAATCGTTGGGTTCCTCATCGGTGCGATCTATTACGACATCGGTAACGAGGCCTCGCAAGTGATGAGCAATGCCGGCTGCGTCTTTTTTACGGTGATGTTTCTCATGTTCACAGCTATGATGCCTACCATTCTCACGTGTAAGTATACCGCCTGTTGCCGACGACACCGATCCTTCCGCCTTTGCAGTCGTGTCCATTAATTGTATTTCTATTTACAGTTCCGACGGAAATGGTTGTCTTCGTGAGAGAACACTTAAATTACTGGTACTCCGTGAAATCTTACTATATCGCGCGAACCCTGGCAGATGTTCCCTTTCAGGTAGATGCAAAGTTTTCAATGGAAACACGCGCACACGTCGAACGACCTCGTTAATCCGTTGACGCTTTTCTATTGCAGATAGTCTACTCTGTAGCATACGTCATTATTGTATATTTCATGACGTCACAGCCATTGGAGACGAATAGGTTCATGATGTATTTAACTATATGTGTATTGACAGCGTTAGTGTCTCAATCCATCGGTTTAGTGATAGGTGCAGCAATGAGCGTCGAGGTAACGTAACGATGACATTTACACTTCTCGCGTTTACATTGACATTTCTCGAAGGAGCAAAGAAATGAGAGAAAAACCGGTTTTTTATTCCAGAGCGGAGTGTTCATCGGGCCTGTGTCGTCAGTGCCGATCGTTCTGTTCTCCGGTTTCTTCGTCAATTTCGATGCCATTCCAAAGTACCTGAAGTTTCTTTCGTACGTGAGTTACGTCAGGTACAGTTTCGAGGGGGCGATGATTTCGGTGTATGGTTATAATCGTGCTAAGCTCAAGTGTTCCGACCCCTACTGCCACTTCAAGAGCCCGACGAAGTTCCTGGAAGAGATGTCGATGCAAGACGCCGTCTTCTGGGTGGACGCCGTCGCGCTCGCAGGCTTCCTCCTATTCCTGAGAGTGACCGCCTACTTTGTACTGAGACTGAAGTTACGATCTCTTCGTTAAGACGCGCGGCGGCCGATCGGCGATCAACGATTCACGATCAAACCGATAGTGTCCCGGATCTGCCGTCGGGGATCCCGAGTCTTTCGTTCGTGAGCCTGACAAACGGTCGCGGTTGCGAACGGACATCCTTATCTCGCCGAAAAAACGGTCTTCGAGGACTCATGATTAGGATTCACAGTTTCTCTCCACATCGAAGGTAGAAATGCTGCGATGTACGACCGTTCAGCCTTCTCGCTGTCAATTTCCGAGGGTTCTCGCTGCTGCTCGTGTGCATCGAGTCGAACGTCGAGCGAATCCTCGACTCGTAGCCCGTATTCGCGTTCCAAGAGCACCGACGACGTCCTGACGCGAGACTCGGGGCGTTTCGTCGGCGACGATTACGACGAAAGACTAAACGGAGACCGGCGTTCCGGTAGAAGAAGAGGAAGAAGAAGAAGAACGCACGCGTGGAACGTTACTTCGCGTTACCAGTACAAGTCGAAAACGATATTGGTTTGGAGAAGGATCATACGCGTAGAACATTTAGGCATTTCTAATAATCTAGAGTACGCAAGAGTTAGACTTGAATTGTAACATCATCGATAACAGACCGTGTCGAGACCACCGTTGATAATACGCATCGAACCGAAATGCAAGAGAAACATTTATAGCCAATTACTACAAACTCGCCAGGAGCCTTAGGCCCATTCAAGACTCATGGTCCCTCCAATGAGCGCGTGTGTATCACGCGAACAAAAATAGACTTTTCTCAATAGATAAGCAATAGGATTTACGGATCCAAGGTTAGGAAGGATTCTTTATTGTTCTCGTGTTTACATCGACCGCCACATTCATTTAGGCTATGAAACCTCGGGGTACCTCAACGATATACAAAAGAACCACTGATAAATCGCTCGACATATCGGACAGCAGAAATTTTAACTGACTCGTAGCAGCATAATGGAAACAAAAATATGGATTTCTACGTCCGATACTTTCTTGTATATCAGCGCGGTGCTAGCGCGTATTTGTACTTCGAAATGATTTCTTACGTGACCACTATCGAACTTTGCCCATATCGTCATTCCATTATATAGATAATTCGATCGAAATAACGTATAAACGATTAAAACGAAACGGTAAGCATGTATTGTAAAAAAGAAGAAGAAAAAAACGGAAAAAGAGCTCACATCTGACCAATCACTAGCTGCCTGTGCGTTTGCTTCTAACAAAGTGAGGAGTGCTGAACATTGTTACATTTATTACGGTACAGTTATTTAATTAGGCGGGTGAAGGGAGCATATACATTAATGAAACAAAAGAAGAAGGAGAAGGAGAAGAAAGAAAAAAAAACTTGAAAAAAATCATAGGCACGTGAATATCCATGCATTAACGAATTTAAGGAGATTATTCTGGTTTTGGAAACTTTTACAGGAATTCTGTTCACGGCCTACATCGTACATGATTCGTATCGCCACGGATTCATTTATTCGATGACTGACGCAAAACGAAATCCAATAAGAACTTCATCCATTCTGTTTCCTTTCGCTTATCGATCTCATTGCATAAGTTTTCCTTTTCTCGCGAATGCCGCGGTACGGCCGACCACAGAATAATCTTACCGTTTAGAGCCGATTCGATATCGTTACACTTTAGTTTAAACTTTGTACGGCTCCGGGTAGTAATAGCGTTTGTTAAATAATAGTCGTATAAATATTTTTATATTTCGAATGTATCGTATAGGAGTTCTACTTATAATTTTTTGCGGCTAGGGTAAAGCGATCGTCGCCGATGCGCTCGTTCTCAACCGTACTTCAATTACGCTCGTTTTGATTTTTACAGGCAGGAAATAGCGGTACCGTAAAATACGAATTATCGATTTCGATACTGCGTGCGTGCGCTGCGTTTGCGACCGTGGCTGCGTTGAATCGGTGATAGTACTTAATTCCGTAACGTACTGTATACATTTAGGGACGTTTCACTCGGAACCTTCAGAATCGTGCTTCTTTAATTAATTAAGTCGTATACTCCATTCGACGGAATTTTAGCCCGCTTCTACTTCTGCTATCCTATCAGCGACAATTTCGATCGTACAAGAAATGGCGGAGGTACTGCAGAGGGTTCGCGACTGTTATGCGAAGCAGAACGATTTTCGAAGCGTCGAAGGAACAAAAAAAACTTTCTAACCGGTGGATAGCCTTCGCGGACAACTGGTAGAATAAGCGGTTAATATGTAATTTACCGAAGAAAACTCTACGAATCATAGACGATCGAGAGGGACGGTGGAAAATGGTGACGAGAAGGAGGAGGAGGAGGAGACGGGAGAATGTAGAAGGGAGGAGGGAGCAAAAAAGTTTCCATATTTTTAGACTTGCTATATAATTATTATCGTTTGTACTTTCACTTACTATTGTTAAATGTAAGCGAGCAAATTGACAAAATACGTAGGGCAGGAGACAACGAGGCATTGCATTAAACGTGCAAGTAAACAAGCTTCTTTCGTTCCGTTTCTCTTATGTTCTTCTAATACTCGTGGTAGCCGTCGTATCGCGATCCGGCGTTTAATTCTCGTTCGTTCGTTTAATTCCGAATGCACTTCGATTATGGTAACTTGGTAACGACTGTGATTTCAGTGTCGGCAAACAGACGTTTGGCGTAGAAGAAACCAATTCTGTAAAGTGTATATACATAGAGCGATGTAAGTAATAGGGATTTATGAAGGCGCGAACGTTGGGCGAAAACGGTGGGCGGCGAGAGGGGGCGAGGAGGGGTGGCGTGTGAAGACAAGTCGAGCAAGTACGATGAAAGTCCGACAAGTTGTGCTTTCCTCGCGAAACAGAGAACGACGTTCGTTGCATCCGTTGACGCGAATGGGCGCGCGACAACGTTCGCCCGTTTAGATTGTGGGCTCGTCTCTCCATACTGTATATACCAGATGCTAGGTTTTGTAACACGCGAATCGATCGAATAGCGTTATACCCCTACCGTTTTATAGTTACCATATTAATCCCCCGGTAATCTAGAATCCGACATCACACTCGCTCGTAACG